TTCCCAGAGCTGACCAGTTCTGCCCATGCACCCTTCCTGCCCCGACCCTTCCTCCAAACCAGGTGCATTGAGAGCTGTCTCTGAGGAGGTCTGGACAGTGGGTCTGGGCCAGGCGGGAGGTTTGAGAATGAACTTGGCCACCTGGCACTTCCTCCCACAAGCGTTGAGAGCTGTCCTAAGACAGAGTACAAGGCCTTGTAAGGGTTGGAGGGCTTAGCTTGGGGCAGTGAATCACAGGGATTTGTATGCTGGCTTTTTTCTGAATTCTGAATATAGGAATACTGCCTTTAGGTAGTAAATAGGAGATGGAGAATCTGTTCTTGCCTATGCCAGATCTTGCATTGATGGGATGAGACATCCCTGGCTAGAACAGCCAAAGGGCAGGGTGGGCGAGGGAGGTCATGCTTCATTCCTGGTTACGAGTGCATAACCATACCTGAAAAGAAAACATCTAGTCAGCCAGGGTATAGGCATGCTCCTGAAAACATGCCATTCGATTTCGAGCCCAGGTTTGTATATGCTGACTCACACACTTTTTCTTTATTAACAATCCATCAAACATATTAAACCATTTAAAAAGCAGTGCCTTGCTTACTATGTGGCGCATGCTAGTCACTCAACCTTGATGAATGAACAGACGTCATTGCCCTTGACCAGACTGGACATGATGGGTGCCCCATGAGTCTTGGAAGCCAGGGGTCTGTGGTAGTTTCTCCTACTTGCTGACAGACACCTTTGAAGGTGGAAACCTCTCCAGGAGTGGCCCTCTGATTAACTTGTGCCTTGAGTCAGGGTTGGGCCTGCTTCCCTGCCTTTCCCAGGACCATCTCACTTTTCTCTGTCCTTCAGGTTCCTCCTAACTTGATCCAAGGAGGAAGCTCCTTCCTCCATGGTCCCTTCCGGGTCCAAGAGGGCTTTGCTGCCCTCTGTGGGTGACGTTGTCTTAGTTTTGCCCTTTTCTGCTACCATCCTCTCTCACCCCTTCCCATTCAGATTACCTACCAAACAAAGCCTCAGAGCTGGACAAGACAGTAGCCGTCCACCTCAGTGGCACCATTCCAGTCAGCCGATGCCTCAGTGCGGTGTCCGTGGTCACCCTTTGCTCAGAAACTTTCAGTGGGTTCCCACTGCCATTCAAGGCTCTCCACAACCAGCTCTCCCTTCTCTCTCCAGTTACCTCTGTCTGGTCTTCTGGCTAAATCCCTTACTTTAGCCAAACTGGTCGGTTCATTTTCCCCAAATATCTGGCCCTCTGCCTTTATACCCTTTCTCCCTTGTTTAGAAACACTACTTTCCTTTAAGGTATGCAAAGCTGCCATGGCCTCTAGTCACAAGGACGTTTTTCTCCTGGCCTGGCTCCTTTAGCTCCGCTAGCACAACTCCCTCAACACCTCCCACACATCGCCTTGGATTGCTGTGTCTCATGTTCATTCATGCAGTATTTTAATTTCTGAATTTATCTTTGTAACCAAAATAATTTTTATTGCAAAAGATCCAAACAATACCGAAGTGTTCAGAGCAGCATGTAGGACTTGTTCCCCTCTGCTTACTGTCCGCAAAGGTTACCACCCTCGGCTGTTTTGGTGTGCATCCTCTAGTTCCTTTTCTAAATATATGTGTCTATACACACATTTGGGGAGGGCTTAAAATATAAAGGGGCTCATCACATCTATTATTCTACCTTTTTTTTTTTAAACTTTAAGGTATATATGTTTGTCTTAGAGGTTTCCTATATTAGTATAGTTAGGTTTTCCTTTTTAATGGTTTCTCAGTACTGCATAGTATATAATATTTATTCAAAATAAAACATATTTGTCTGGAATCTCTTATATGGAGGGTATTGTGCAGCTAGCACCTAAGGGACTCCAGATATCTTGTCCTCGCCATCAGCGAGCTCGCTCTTTAGAGGAGAGGGGGAGGGAGGAGCGGGAATACACAAATAACCACAACACAAGGGAAAATACATTAAAGTCCCCAAGTGTGCCTGAAGTTCCAAAATAAGAGAAGTCACTTCTAGCTAAGGGGATCAGGACTTAACAGCGGAGGTGATCTTCAAGCTTGGCCTGGAAGGAGCTTGACAGGTGAAGGAAGAGCATGAACTGCACGCAGAGATGAAAACACACAACGCAGGTTCATCTGATGCCATGAGCATGAAGGGGATTTGATTCAATTTATAAACATTTATCAAGCATCAAATGTGTCAGACATCATACTAGGCAATGAGAATATAGAAATGAGAAATACGAGGTTCCTGTCTTTAAAAGGCTTTCATTTTAATGGAATCAAAGCCAGGTTTGGAAAGGCAGGTTAAGACCAGATGATGAAAGCTTTCAATTGGCGTATCAGGTAGTCTGAATTGAATTCCCTGGGCAATGTGGAGCCATGCAGGCTTTTTAGTGTGGGTAGGTAGGTAGCGTGACTGAAGCTGAACAGATAGCAACAGTGAACAGAATGGGCTAGAGTAGGGAGAGGCTGAGGTTGAGGGGCTTATTACTCTTTTGTTGTTTTTTGTTTTAACAAGATAGAAGTTCGTTTCTTTTTAATTTTTTTGCCACACCGCGCGGCTTGTTGGATCTTAGTTCCCCAACCAGGGGTCGAGCCCATGCCCCCTGCAGTGTAAGCACGGAGTCTTAACCACTAGACTGCCAGGGAAGTCCCTAGAAGTTCATTTCTACCTCAGTTAAAAGGTGTCTGGTGGTAGGCAATCGGGACTGGTATGGTGGCTCTACAGTTATCAGTCTCTGATGACTTCTTTTTGTTCACTATCCTACTTACATCCTCATGGTCGCCTCATGGTCTAATATGGCTGCTAGAGTGTAATTCATCTCATCTGTATTCCAGGCAGCAGAAAGAAGGAAGGGAAGGAGACTGGGGGGGAGGAGGTGGGGCACTGCGACACACTGCTTAGTTAAATTAACTTCCTTTAAGCAGCCTCCCTGGAAGTCCAGGACAATATTTCAAACACTTTGGTTTATGTCTTATAGGCCAGAACTTAGTCACGTGGCCTTATACAAATTTAAGGGAGACGTGGAAATATAGTTCTGTTTGTGTTTGATTTTTTTTCCTTTTTAAAGAATTTGAGGAATAATTTGCATAAAGTGCAATGCACAGATCTTATACAGTTTGATAAGTTTTGACAGGCATACACCCATGTAACCCACATCCCTATCAAGATATGGAGCATTCCATCACCCCCAGAAATTTCCTGCTGAGGGGGCTTTTTAAAAAAAAGAAAAGAAAAAGCCCAAAAGAGAAATAATGAAGGTTTAATTAGGGTGGTAGCTGTGGGAATGGAAAGAAAGAGCTGGAGAGGCTGTGGAGGGAAAATCCAAAGCAGACTGGTTGGATGTGGGGGTGAGAGGAGAATCAAAGAGAGTGCTGGTAGCAGAACCAGGAACAGAAACAGGAGGTTGGAAGTGAAGTCTAGATTGTTGCAGGTGGGATGGAAGGAGAAAGAGGAATGAGTACGGTATTGTGTGTGTTGATTTGAGGTGCTGGTCAAACATCCAGGTGGAGATCCCCAGTACCCAGTGGTGCCTAGAGCTTAGGAGGGCAGTCAGAGCTCAATGGCATCGTGGGCCAGAGAGATGCTTAAGAGGACAAGACCTAAGAAGTGGTCCAAAATATGGTGACTGTGAGCTCACTGATGACTTTTGAGGGAGCAGAATCCAGATACCCAAGGCCTGAGTGGGCAGTGAGGGCTTAAATCATGCAGAAGGGGATTGGTAGGGTCACCCGAAATAACTTAAAAAGTCTTTTAAAAACTGAAGTCCTGGGACTTCCCTGGTGGCGCAGTGGTTAAGAATCCACCTGTCAGGGCGCTTCCCTGGTGGTGCAGTGGTTGAGAGTCCGCCTGCCGATGCAGGGGACGCGGGTTCGTGCCCCGGTCCGGGAGGATCCCACATGCCGCGGAGCGGCTGGGCCCGTGGGCCGTGGCCGCTGGGCCTGCGCGTCCGGAGCCTGTGTTCCGCAATGGGAAAGGCCACAGCGGTGAGAGGCCCGCGTACCGCAAAAAAAAAAAAAAAAAAAACCTGTCAATGCAGGGGACACGGGTTTGAGCCCTGGTCCGAGAAGATCCCGCATGCTGCGGAGCAACTAAGCCCATGCGCTACAACTACTGAGCCTGTGCTCTACAGCCTGCAAGCCACAACTACTGAGCCCATGTGCCACAACTACTGAAGCCTACAAGAGAAGCCACCTCAACGAAGAGCAGCCCCCGCTGGCTGCAACTAGAGAAAGTCCGCGCGCAGCAACGAAGACCCAATGCAGCCAAAATAAAAGAATTTCTAAAAACAAACAAAAAAACCGAAGTCCTTGCACAAACATAAAATGGGTGTATGTAGCTGGTTTTTTGACAATTTTGTTGATGAAAGGAGAAAGGAAATGGTAATGTCAGAGGAAAAGATCAGGGATTCATCCCACCCTTACGGTGAAATAGCCTGTGCTCTTTTCAGTTACCTGAAGGACAGGGTGATGGGACAACACCCTCCCTCCTTTTGGGTATATGACCTCCAGAAAATCAAGCTGAAGGGCTGGATATGGGAGAGGGATACGACCTTTGGCAGCTGCTGGGTTGCGGTGGGCCAGCCAGACACTACCAGGATAGGTGTGAGGACACATATATCTCTAAGAGGAAAGACCAGAGCGCAAACTGGCTGGACTCAGGTAGTCCTGGGTTTGAATCCTGTCTCTGTCACCACCTAGCTAGATGACCTTGAGCAACTTACTTAACCTGAACACCCAGTTCCTCATCTGTAAAATGGAAACAATTATGCCTACCTTTCAAGGTGGTTTTGAGGATTACAGACAAGTGTCTGGAACACAATAGGTAATCGTAAATGGGTGTCATTATGTGACCCAGCCCCTCGCTATGGGACCGAACGGCTAACGGACAGGTCAGAATCTCAGAGGGCAGGGAGAGCTCCCGCGGCCTCCTCCCTCCGGGAGGTGGGGACAAGGTGGAGGAAGGGCTGCGGGAGGAGGAGTTGGCGCGCGTCGCGACCCGCCCCGTCCAGTCTGGCCTGGGCGCTGAAGGAACTGCGGTCCTAGCCGCTGCCACCCAACAGCCTGTCCTGGGTGTCCCGTGCCCTGCCCCCAACCAGTCATGACCCTGCGCCCCTCACTTCTCCCGCTCCGTCTGCTGCTGCTGCTGCTGCCGCTGCTGCTCAGTGGGGCGGTGTGCCGGGCTGAGGCTGGGTTCGAAACCGAAAGTCCCGTCCGGACCCTCCAAGTAGAGACTCTGGTGAGGAGGAGATAGTCCCGGGCGGGCTCTTTGGAGGTCGGGCCTCGTGAGGAGAATGCCGGGGTCTCAAGGAACCTGGGAGCGGGGAGGAGAGGCAGTGCGGGCACTGAATTGGGGGTGCTGAGTCTAAGGGCAAGAACGGGATCTTTGGAGGAGCCTCCGTGACTCCTGTAGTGCGATCATAGGTGGCGCCCCCGGAACCGTGTGCTGAGCCTGCTGCCTTTGGAGACACGCTTCACATACACTACTCGGTGAGGGGTCTGGGGGGCCGGGGCGGGGCCGGGGGGGGGCGGCGCCCTGCAGCAACACGTCAGCTTTAGCTTGGACACGTGGCAAGCGGTTCGCGAGTCACTCCGGCTCTGGGGGTCCTCCAGCACGTGGCCGGGGGAGGGGCGCTTCTCTTCCCTACCCTTTTTACCTCCCTGCTTTTCCGCCAGTTCCTCCCGGGCCCTGAGAAGTGAAGGGTGGAGGGATCTTCGAGAAGCGCCAGCCCTTTCTGCCCCGAGGGGAATGCTAGGCAGCAGTCGCTAGGGGGTTGCCGACCGAGGCCCAGGTGTGTGCGCGCCCTGCTGGGAGGGAGAGGTACTAGGTGTGTGCTCTAGAAGCTCTTCCCCCCACCCCCCACCCCCCAGGGCAGCTTGGTAGATGGACGCATCTTTGACACTTCTCTGACCAGAGATCCTCTGGTTATAGAACTTGGCCAAAAGCAGGTGATACCAGGTATGTGAGCCGTACCTCCCATTCCACTTCTTCCCAACCTAAGCCCTTGCTTAGCTTCTTCAACTCCTAAGCTACAGTGGAAATGTCCCCTGGAATAAGACCCCAGGGCTCTACCAGCCACCTCCTGAGGTTCAAACCCCGCTTCTGGTACTCCTCTTGCCCCATACCGCATTGGAAGCCAGAGATTCCAGCAGTGGGGAGCTCAACTGAGGGTCCATGGGGAGCCTTTGAGCCTCCTCTCCTGGGATTTGGGGAATGTAGGTAGTTTCCTATTCAGTTGTGTCTTCTTCCTCAAGGTCTGGAGCAGAGCCTTCTAGACATGTGTGTGGGGTGAGTATCTGGGCAGGTGGGCTTGGGTACCCCCTCTGCATGGCTCTGCTGTCCCTGCTCCTAGAGGAGGCAGGAGAATGGGCTTTGGCTTCAAACTGGGCAGGTCAAGGTCACTGGGCACTGAGGCTTTGGATGAAGCCTCAGGCTTCCCGGCTGTGGATTTTGTTGGTGGAGTTGAGACATGTGGGGGGATGGACGCCTTGGCTGGTCAACCTGTTTGGTGCTCAGGTGGGAAAGTTCACGTTTTGAGTGTGAATATCCAGAGGGTTTTGTTGGTGGGGCTTCAGATGGACCGAGGTGGCTGGCCCACCTGTTCCCACCTCTGGCTATGACTCACATTCCTTCCCTCAGAGAGAAGCGAAGGGTAATCGTTCCTTCTCACTTGGCCTATGGAAAACGGGGATTTCCGCCATCTATCCCAGGTAATCTGACTAGGCCTCTCTCTGTGGCTATCAAAGTACCCAGTCCCGGGGACTTCCCTGGCAGTCCAGTGGTTAAGACCCTATGCTTCCAATGCACGGGGCGCAGGTTGGATCCATGATTTGGGAGCTAAGATCCCACGTGCTGCACAGCAAAAACAAACAAAAAAACCCAGTCTTTAAGAGCCACATACAAGGAGCTATGCACTTTGTCTGGAGCTTGAGAAGGTCTAAACCCAGTTTCCTGAAAGGTACAGGAGTGGCTGAGGCTTCCTTCTGCAGGGTCGCCTTCTTCCTCCTCAGATCACCAGCAGGGACTAGGAATATATAACCTGTTAAGGCCACTGGCTTGTCCTCTGGCAGACAGCAACTTTTTAGGGAGGAGACACCTGCTTGAGCCACATGAGTCTGCTGCCTGTGCCACCTCTCCGAGAACTCTGGACTTCTTTCCTGCCCTTTTCCTACAACTCCAAACTGTTGGTTGTGCAGTTGGCATGGCTTCTCACCACATCTCCACCGTTCCTTTCAGCCTCCACCAGGATGATCACAGTCAAGTAATTCAAAACAAAATAAAACAAAAAACAACTTTTAAAATCCAAGCCTGGGACTTCCCTGGTGGTGCAGTGGTTAAGAATCTTCCCTCCAATGCAGGGAACTCGGGTTTGATCCCTGGTCAGGGAACTAGATCCCACATACATGCTGCAACTAAGACCTGGTGCAACCAAGATAAATTAAATAAATAAAAATTAAAAATAAGTTAAAAAAAAAAAAAAGCCAAGCCTACCCCCTAACTTTAAAAGCCCTCACAGGTCACTGCTGATACCTATTTTTGAAGGCCTGAGACTGGACAGATTTCCCAAGATGCATATCTCTTGCTTTTGGTTATAAGAAATGTTCTACTAGCGAAAATGACTTGTACTTCAGAGTACTGGGATAAAAGTTCTTATCCGAGTTCCAGCTTAGACAGAGACCCATAGAGAGGGTCAGGGGACTAAAGAGAAATTCTTTTACCCAAAGTTCTGTTACCTCCTCATTTCCAGTGCTTCTTGTTTGCATTTCTCCCCCAACTCATTCCTGTCCATTCCTCCACTCCTTTTTTTTTTTTTTTGCAGTACGCGGGCCTCTCACTGTTGTGGCCTCTCCCGTTGCGGAGCACAGGCTCCGGACGCACAGGCTCAGCGGCCATGGCTCACGGGCCCAGCCGCTCCGCTAGGCATGTGCGATCTTCGCGGACCGGGGCACGAACCCGTGTCCCCTGCATCGGCAGGCGGACTCTCAACCACTGCGCCACCAGGGAAGCCCCACTCCTTACTTCTTAAACCACATCCTTCTTCCTCTCTAGCCCTTATGTTGAAACACCTTTTTTTTTTTTTTTAACAGTCACATTGAGATGTGCTTATTGGTTGGTGAAATTTTAAAAAGTCTAGTTTAAATCCAATTAATTTCAGCCCTGCAAAGATCCTCTCCATGTGGCTGTTTAGAAACGGAATACAGTTAGTACAGAGGTCTCTAACTTACAAATGGACTTTACAAGTACTTTTCACAGAAAGTTTTTCTGTCCTGGCAAAGACCTGTCAGTGAATACAAGCCACACTTGTATATTTGAGGTAAACGTGACTATAACTAGATAGCTCATAACCCTCCTCTGCTTCTGCCTTTGTAAGAGAACTCAGCCCCACATTTAAATCTTGCCAGCTTTACAGTTGGTGCTGTGGTTGTGGTCTGCCCTCCCCGCTTTCATTCAGATTTGAGTCCTGGGTAACATGCACAGGGATTCTAACCTTCACCTCCTCTCTGCCTCCAGCGGATGCAGAGCTGCATTTTGACGTGGAGCTCATTGCACTGATCCGAGCCAACTACTGGCAAAAGCTGGTGAAGGGCATTTTGCCTCTGGTAGGCATGGCCATGGTGCCAACCCTCCTGGGCCTCATTGGGTGTCACCTATACAAAAAGGCCAGCAGACCTAAAGTCTCCAAAAAGAAGCTCAAGGAAGAGAAAAGAAACAAGAGCAAAAAGAAATAAAAAATAATTTTTTAAAATCTTTGCATTTTTCACCGGATACTTTCTGCTGCTACCTTTGTAAGTGGGAATAAGGTAAAGGGCTGGGGAGAAAGGGCATTCTTCGTTGGGTCTTGCCTGGCATGGGGGTGGTTGGAGGCTTTGGATCTCTTCTCCTGGCCCTCCTCTTCCTGTCTTACCCCAAGGACCATGGGATCTCTGGGTCCCGAAGGTATGTGTTTTGGCTCCCATGGCGTCCCGACTGAGGAGCAATCCATCGCTGAGAAGTAAGCCTCTGGGTAGTTGCCTAGCTATTCTCTTTACCCCCTAGGGCCGCTGTATTCCTAGTGTCCTCCAAGTAGACTGTTCTATCCAACATGGCAAAGATACAAGGAGCTCATAAACTCCATGGAGATTTTTAATAGCAAAGTCCTCAGGTCTCTCAAAACACTCTCTGGGGGTTGAAAAGAGATTTTCTCCTTGTATCACAGGATGTGGGCGATCACATGGGCTGCTTCAATGATGTTGTAAGTGGCTGGAGGTTTTTGGTCACCTGGCTGGGCTGTAGGCATGGATGGGGGCTGGGGTAAGTTGCTGCTTTGATTGACGATGAAGCGTGGGCTGAGCTGGCTCAGCACTTCATCACTCACTGAGATGCCATCCAAGTACTGCTTGAGCATCTCCCGCAGCTTCTCATTGATTTCTAACAACTGGGCACGTCTGTGTTGAAGGCTCAGTTGCTCCAGTTTCACTTTGTTGTACCTTTTCCAGAAATTCTCCATCCCTATGTAGTCCATTATCACCTGGGAATTGAATTAAAGGGAGAAGGGGTGTGGTAGCACCCGTTAGCAAGTGTAGCCCCAGCCTTGGGCGGTGGCCTCCGGGCCGTAGGAAGCTTACCTTTCCAAGCTCCTCATTAAACTCCTCTGGGTCAATCTTCTCTATGTCCTCCTGCTCCTCGGGAGTCAATACCGACGAATAAAAAGGCAGCACTTTTTCTTCCTCTGTTTCAAATTTCCTACATATTTCAGCAAGTTTAAGGACCTTTTCACCCTATTGGAAGCAAGAAGAGACCTTTCATTAGGAAAGGGGGTGGGGAGGGGAAATAGTGGATTTGGTTCCCCTGCTTCAATCCAGGGGAGCTACTTATCCAAATGGGAGACAAAAGTAATAAATACATCCAACAGAGAGAGCTATGTGCCAAGCACTATTCCAAGTATTTTATACTCTTCTAAAATTCATTCATCATGAAGTAATTTCACTTAAAATGTGAGAGGAGAGGGGACATGGAATAGAATAGGCATTCCAAGTGTGCACTCAGGCAGGAAGCAGGGGGAAGCCCTCTATGTCTCCCCAGCCCCTTTCGCTTCGCAGGGAGCCGTGTTCCTTGGTTCTGTTCTGGCTGCCTTCTCCCCTTTGTTACCTTGTCGACAATCTTCCTCAGGGCCTTGAGGGTGGCATTACTTTCCAGGGTGAGTTTGACTAAGTTCTCCTGTGATATTCCCCGGGCCTGAGTCCTTAGGGCCTTAAGTTTTCGCAGTTGTACAAGGACCAACTCCTTGTCCTCACGAATGTCCCGGTTCTGTTCTTCACTCTCGCGGCCGTGCACCATGATCTTGCCTTTTAAAATAATTATGGAATCCTAGAGGAACAGGGTAGGTTAGAGGAAACACTTGACTAGGTGAGGGTCTTCAGGGAGCAGGTAAAAGGACTGTCTGGGGACTGATACCAGAGCATACCATCTTTCCCCAACCAGTGATGAGGCCCAGTAGAAACTGGGGAAAGGAGAACAGGGGATAATGGAACAGTTAAAGCAGTGAGTCTTTCAGGTGGGCTGCACTAACCTGTAGTCTCTGTATTTTTTTCATCTGTGCTTCAATCTCTTTGGAGCTCTTCTCGTCCTTTACCTTTAGAGTCTCGAAGGCGATCTTTCGATCCTCTGTGGCATCAGTGTAATTCTTGAGTGCATCCTGGAACCTTCTCCACAGATCTTCTACTGTATGCTCCAGTTGCAGTCTTAGAAAGTGCTTCTCTTCTAAATTCTGGGAAGTGGCCCCAAAATAGCCAGTGCTTGGAATTACCCTATTAGCACCCTTTCACTTCCACCAGCAACCTCCCCCTCTTGAACTGTTTGTAGCACAGCGTGGTGCAGAGGTTGCCAGTGAAAATGCCTACAAACCAGGCAGATGATATAAATAAGCGCTGTGGGCTAGCTGGGGTCTGTGGCGAACCAGAGAGGAAATGCTCCATTGGTGTGTGTTTGGGGGGGGTTGGAGCACAGCTGCTCAGCTTCACATGAATGTCTCCATTTGGAATGTGGCCCAGTGTTACCAGATCTTTACATTTTTCAAGGGAAGCTGAAAATTTGGATTTTTATTTGAAATCTTCCAATTTTTAAATGTAGAGAGCTTATAAAAATTTTTAATGAAACATTATGAGGCAAAATAAAAACAAAGCGGGGGCTTCCCTGGTGGCGCAGTGGTTAAGACTCCACCTGCCAATGCAGGGGACACGGGTTCGAGCCCTGGTCCGGGAGGATCCCACATGCCGTGGAGCAACTATGCCCGTGCGCCACAACTACTGAGCCTGTGCTCTAGAGCCCGCGAGCCACAACTACTGAGCCTGCGGGCCACAACTACTGAAGCCCCCATGTCTAGAGCCCATGCTCTGCAACAAGAGAAGCCAACGTGATGAGAAGCCCACGCACCACAACGAAGAGTAGCCCCCACTCACCGCAACTAGAGAAAGCCTGCGCACAGCAACGAAGACCCAACGCAGCCAAAAAGAAGCAAAGGGCCTCACCCCCCAAATCCAGGTCTGCAGGCTGGCTAAGTCTGCAACCTCCAGGGTGGTGGAAGCTCTTGGGGCCAAGGGACAGGAGAACTGGACTCTCCCCCTGGCTCTACCACAGACCAGCAGCATGACTTTGGCAGGTCATTTCACTTCTTTGGGCCTTAATTTCTTCATCTACAAATCACAGAGGTGAAGCCAGACGATCTCCTTGGTGTGCGTTAGCTCTAAAATGCACTTCCTTGACATTTCAGAATGGTTCCCCCCTCCCCACCAATTTTCACAAAATTACAAAAAGCAGTAGGGGTACCTACAGCGGCAACAGGCATTTTATTGGCTATGTTGGTTAAAGGGATCTCTTCTAGCTCTACTAGCCTTGAGCGATTTTCTCTCACTTTCTCCCAGTTCCTGCCCTTCTGCTCTCCCTCTGTACCTTGTTTTTGAGATCTTCCCACATGCTCTGGAACTCCAGCTTGCTTTCGTACTCAGAATCTATGCAGCTCTGCTCCATGGCCATGAAGACATCTTGTAGGTAGTGAATCTCTTTTTCATGTTGGTCAATAATTGTCTTCCTGTAGGAGATAAGATACTGTCTCTGCTCTGAGGCATAAAGCATAGGGATCAATAATGACAATGCAAAGCAGTATGTAATAAAACTATATGAACGGTACAAACTCTTAGGTACTGAAGAAGGACAGAGGGAAGGCGGGTTCTATTCCTTTCAGGGCCAGAAAGAATGAATAAGATTATTTTGATTTTTGAATAGGTAATACATTCATATGATACAAAAATCAAAAAGTACAAAAGGTTGCAGTGAAAAGCCTCCTTCCCATCCCTGTCCCCCAGAGAGGTAGATGTGTAGGATTTTGATAGTTGAAAGTGGGTGGCTGCTTACAGCCAGCATCTTGACATAGGCTGTAGATAGTCCCCTGGGCTCAATCCCCCCATATCTCCCCTTAGGTCCCCATACCTTTCTGTCTCAAACTCCTTGGTCAGGGCCTCCAGCTCCACGTTGTAACTTTCCTCTAGGAGGCTGAGCCGGCGTCTCTGCAGGGCCAAGAGCCGGTCGATGTTGTGCAAGTGGCTGCGCAGCGCGTGGGCGTACTGCTCCTCAGCTTCTGACAGGTCCTTCACTAACGACTGGGTAGGAAACACAGAGTTACCATTTTGGCTGAATGGCATCTCTGTGAGAAAATAAAAATGTATTCGGCTAGCTAGTTCCTATTTTCCCTAGTCTCTAAAGCCAATTCTTTGGCTGTGGGAGCTCTGGCTCTGCCACTTGTGAATGTGAGAAGCCAGTGCTGGTGAAGGGGCCATGTGGAAGCGTTCATTCCAGTCAACGGCCCAGCTGAGCTCCCAGCGGATAGTCAGAATCAACTGTCAGTCATCTTACACATCCAGCTCAGTCAAGCCTTCAGATGACTGCAGCCCCAAATGACATCTGACTGAAAACCGTACGAGAGATGTCAGGCAAGAACCTCCCTGGTAAGCTAAGTCAACCTGCAGAACCACGAGACAGAGTGAAATAAATTGTTGTAAGTCGCTAATTTAGGGTGGTTTGTGATGTAGCAATAAAAATTGAGAACATGTCCACTAGAAAAAAAAGGGACCGTGTGAGCATCAATATGGATAAGAACTGCAATGGATCAAAACATATCAAATATGTCCGATTATGAGTTTATCAGGATACTTTTTAAAAAAATCAGTTACCATTAGAGGATGCCAGACAACCGATTCTTTTTTTTTTTTAAACTGGTTTGTAAAGGGAAGAGAAAGAGCATTTCTTATATAACCTATAGTGTATATAAGCATTTCTTATATAAAGTATACCTCTGGGTAACTGAATGGTAAATGATAGTATCTCTTTATAGAAGTATTCAAACTAATAAATGAAAAAAGAATACTATTAGAAAATCAGCATTTTGCAACCCCCAATGAATTAATGGATAGTCAACAGCTGCTAACATCACAAATGTGCCTCCTAATAGAAGAACACAACACCTGCAAGCTTCTAGATCGAATTACCAAGACACAGGAAATACCGAGGACAAAGTAACATGTTAAACTACAATACAGTATACTATGCAGTTGTTAAAAAAAAAATGAGAAGCTCTTTATGGGCTAATGTTGAATAATCCCCAGGATATATTATTAAGTGAAAAAGGCAAGGGGCAGAACACTATGTAATACTACCATTTGTGTAAAAAAAAAAGGTTTACTCATGAAACTAAAATTATTGGGAGGGGCACTGGGTG